AAGAGGAAATTGACGCATTTCGTGACGTCATAATGCATTTACTAGCCAGAAAATTACGTCATATTTGATAGATACGCAATCATTAAAGATCTAAGTGATATTTAATGCATTGTTACTAAAACTAAGCCGTTTTAATTTTTCAGAAATTCACAGGGCCAAATAGGCAAAAAGTAAACCTTGTTCTTTGAAAATAGTTTGACATACATCATTGTTTACTGCTATAGAAGAAACAGATCATGGACTTTTCTTCTTTTTGTAATTATAGGAACCGATATCTCAAAATATAAGATTCTATTTTCAAATCCACTGAAAGTTCCATTTGCCTGTCATTTTAAAGTTTTTACCTTAGTTTGGGGAAAAATAGAGTCATTTTCTTTTGAAACAGGACTTTTAGGTAGATTTGCATGTATTGGATATGAAACCTTGAATATATTCCCGCAGCATTGTTAAGGCTACATAAAGGGGTCTGGGCCTATTTCATACGAAAAATGTTTACTGTGACATCACACGAATAAAATACCAGAAAATGAAATAATTTGCAACTTTAAACTTAATCAGCATAATCAACAACAAAACCTTTCAATTCATTAAGAATGGTTGCAAGTTAAACCCCGCACATAGGGTTTTTAACAAATCACTTATTGGAACGAGTTTGTCGTCATGGCGTCATTTTAGTATAAATGACGTATTGTATGTGCTGTGAAAGGCAGATCAAGTAATTTTTTAACAGTGAAAAATGCATTTTATTATTAAATAGAATATTATTTACAGATTTTAGATAGGTTATTGATACAAATGTAAAATCTTTGTTTAGTGCAATTATTTAATAATAATGGAGAGAATGTATTAAATTAATTTTATCATATTTTTGTGTACATGTTTAGCTTATTTAATATCGAGGTGCCTGATAGAAATAGGGATATTTTTCAGCCTTTTCAACAAAATAGCTACTCGTTGAAAGAGACCATCTTAGGCATTTCGAACCCTATCTTCCTCTCAGTCCTACAGATGTTCAATAAGTAAAAGATGGACTTTACAAAGACCAGTCGAGTTGGTAAATGTGATTGTTTGCTAGAAAGTCTTGATAAACCCAGGCTACAAAGGGCCGGGGGTAATCACCCCAAAGAAAATTAGGGAGTTGCGCAAGTGAGAGGAACACCAATGTAAATTAGACAAGCTCAAAGATCCAAATCGCGCTATCAGTTTCTTTCAGTTTTATGGTAAATGTAATGCATATGATAACCTACTCTATTAATCGCAGTTTTGTGTAAGTAAGGTGGCAATTAAACAGGTGGCAGGACGAATAACTCTATCTTAGTGTTGCTCTGTTACGCGTCAACGGCATCGTCACAGTTGATTGAAAACCATTCAAGGCCCTCTCTGACAACGGTTAAGACGTTCTGTAGGGGAAAATTGACTAATGACTGCATAGCAAGCTTTTCTTGCCTTTGTCCTTACTTAGGCAAAGTAAAAGCCAGACCCCATGGGTCTTCCGTCAGCTGTAACAAGATTGCAAAGAATGCATTTCATCTACAAATACTGAAAACAAATTCGCATACCTCAAGTGTATCAAATGGTAGAAGAAGATCGTGACAAACTTTTCATCATCAAGTTGCCAGTGTTTTTTGGCTTCTTAGCACTTTTCCGACATAACGTCACAGTTAGGTAATTCTAAATAGCTATATGACAGGTTTAACTTTATTTCCTTTTTGAATATCAAAGATTTCTTATTTTAAAGAACAAAAATCAGGTCTTCAATAAAGCTATATGCAGTTAATAAGATTATATTCCTACATAGGTAAAGGAAGTTGATGATTGAAAAGTATAAGTCATCAGTTTATCACAGAGAATTGTTGTTAAGTTACCATTAACGTATTTTGCTGGTAAAATATCTAAATATGAAACATATGTGTCAGACTCTGTTGTATCATTTATTTCAAGCTCAACGAGATATATCGAATTGACATATGAATGGAATAGGTCTGCTAATAACAGGGCGCAATTGGTACCCGTGAGAATTCCAACAGATTGTTGGAAGACCTGATCTCAAAAAAATACACAAAAATTATCAATCAGAAACTCAAGCATCTTTTTGTATCAACTTAAGAGTATTTGTGTGTACAATCACAATGCTTTTAAAAATTATTTTGCTAATGACCATTGACAAGGTAAGTATATTAACGAGTTCCATGCTTCTGAAAAGCAGCTGTCTATGATTTCAAAATGCCTAGACTTCAAATTATCAATGGTGAACTGTTGTATAAAGTATTGAAAGGTCATATGTTCACGCATTTGACATGCATATAAGGTGTCTGATCTTTCACTTGGCAAAATTAACATTACGGTTAAATTATCCAGAAATCAAGTAGAGTAATCTGGAATAAACAATTAGAAATGTAAATATTTGTACTTATATACCTACAGTGTTTAGCAAGCTCAAAGACATGATATACCTGTATACAGTTTAATTTTCTAAATGTTCTTTTGACAGATTTCCAAGGAAGTGGAAAACACTTTAAAGGTACATATTTTCTTTAGATTTTAAATTCATATGTTCATTTACTATTAAGTATACGAGGGTGTTCGGCAATTATTGAGACATTGTCTATATTTTTCTTTCTAATGAACGTCTTTCGGTGAAAATTGGCAAATACGTTTGACAAACATTATGAATTCATAAAATAAAGATACAATTCACAAATATTAAATTTATTATCTTTAACGGTATAAAAATATGTCAATGGTAGGTGTACCCGAAGCAATCACGAAATCAGATATTGAAAATATGTATCACCAACGTTCGACCCCCCGATGTACCCATAATAAGAGCGAAAATTATTCAATTGATGTATATAATATTTCAATTTTATTTTGACTTCATGTTTGTTAGAATTCTGATAAGAATTATGGAGATCATCAAAAAAATTAAGCGCGGTATAGAAATCTGATAACGACGACAAAATGAAATTTGACGTTAAGGCGGAGCAGCAAGAGACCTAAGATATAATGTAGCGCTGTTGCAACCACTACTGAAATAACGACCACTATTGAAATAATTATATCAATAGTGGTTGAGAGTGCATTTCAATAACAAACATAGGTAATAACCACTTTTGAAATACGACCACTATTAAAATAATTATTTCAATAGTGGGTGAAAGTGCATTTCATTAACAAACATTGATAGTAACCACTATTATAATACGACTACTATTGATATAATTATTTCAATAGTGAGTGAGATTCATTTCAATAACAAACGTAGGTTGCAACCAATATTAAAATAATGTTAACCATTGAAATTAAAATTTCAATATGGATTAAATGATTGATTTCAATAGAGTATTTAACAATAAATCCAATAGATATTAAAATCATCATTTCAAAAGTTGCTGCCACGGTGAAACTTTTCTTTCAATACTGGTAGTATATTTCAATAGTGGTTGAAACCTATGGTTACCATATTGAAATGCACTCTCACCCACTATAAAATAATTATTTCAGTACTGCTTGTATTTCAGTAGTGGTTGAAACCTATAATTAATATATTGAGATGCACTCTAACTCACTATTGAAATAATTGTTTCAATAGTGGTCGTATTTCAATAGTGGTTATTACCTATGTTTGCTATTGAAATGCACTTTCAACCTATATTGATATAATTGTTTCAATAGTGGTTACTAACTATGTTTGCTATTGAAATGCACTGTCAACCACTATTGATATAATTATTTCAATAGTAGTCGTTATTTCAATAGTGGTTGCAACATAGCGTTATGTAAAACTTTTTTCCAAACTGTCTGAACAATCTGCTAAAACATTAACAACAGGATAACACGTGTCAAAGGGTTTGTTATTTCATATGTATATACTTTTTCTAGCCTATAATTCAACCAACGTATAATCAAACGCTCCAAACGGCCATCAATTTTTTACCGCTCTGGGACTTAAAACGTTGACCCTCATTATCCTGTATATATGACGCATGAAAAATAACACACTTTTAAAAAGACAGTTTGATTTTTGTGTTGTATATATATATATAACAAAGAAAGGAGAGTAAACTCTTTCCGGTCGTTTCACATGCAAAAACATCTCCGACTGACGTGACGTTAAAATGACGTACTTATGCTGCTCAGGTCTATAGTCATAAGCCTGTATATAATTTCACCAGAAATTATATTATCATTCTACAAAGTTTTGCATAACTGTTTAATTCGTTCTTCGTTAAATATTGACGAATTTTCCTAAATTTATCTCTGTCCTTTGTGGAGTAAAAAGTAAATGTCTCAATAAATTTTGAACAGCCCTCGTAGTTCTTCATTCCCTATCCAGAACACATACACAAGACAAAACATTACCAGATGGAAGAAATCAGCTTGGTATTCTCTTTAAATTTTTTTTAGTTTTTATAATTGTGTAACAACATACGTTAGTCATTTATATCTATCAGGTTTATCATGGTAAAAAAATCTCCATTCAACAATATTTAATTAATGTTATAACTTATGTATTAATATTTCTAAGAAAGCAAGGTAAATGATGATTATTTTTTTGTAAATTTTCCGTTAAATGATATATTATAAATACATAGAATGTCAGGTTTTAAATGATTCTATAATATCATCTACATATGTGTAAGAATCTTAAAAGTGTTTTCCAGTATTTCACAATTTATGTGATTTTAATTTGTTAATATTGCTTTGTTACACAGGTTTGATTGAGAACAATTGAAGGCTGCTATTTATTCGGAAATTGTAAAAACTTAGCTCCAAGATGAAAGGTATATATGTTTATCTGGGTCGTAATTCAATTCATGTCTATGAATTCTTTAAACCAAAAATTAATATAAATGAGTACATAGTAAGGAAAGGACTGTCGTTGATGTAGATAATTATAATACGATGATATAATTCATAGATTATCTTCCTGACTGAGAAAATAAACATCGGATTCTGAAACCGCAGGGAAGAGACGCAAAAAATATCTGCTGTAAATGATGCCTTTGATAGTGTTAGAGAAGTCTGTCAAAGTGCCAGGTGTTAGGCGCAGTCGTCATATTTCCCTTGTAACTTCAAATCTGGTCTGGATCAGTGACAATGGTTACAATCTCATCTTGACAAACACAGAAGGTGTTAAACTATATCATCTGACTGATATAGATAGTGGTTCTACTGGAGTACATACAGTGACAAGTGACGGTGATTTAATTTATATAGACAATGGGTTAAACATCAACAAACTGTCTGCAGAGAAAAAAGTAAAAACTACATTAATAAAGTATGCAGCACCATGGAAACCACGGTGTGTCTATAGCTCCCCCTCCACTGGAGACCTGCTAGTCGCGATTTATAATACTGATACAAAGACAGGCCAGGTAAACCGTTACAATAACACTGGAGAACACATACAGACCATACCGCACGACAACACAGGTCAGGGACTGTATAGTGTACCTACCTACATCACAGAGAACCGCAATGGAGATGTTATTGTTTCTGATTATCACCGTAGTGTTCTAGTGGTGACAGATCGTGAAGGGAGGCATCGCTTCTCCTACACAGGACCTCCATTAAAACCAAAAGAGTCAGGAGTAGAACCACGTGGAATCTGCACTGACGCGTTGTCACATATCCTGGTGTGTGATGATAACACTCGATCAGTACAGATTATTGACAAAGATGGTCACTTCCAGTCACTTACAGAGACAAAACAACACGGGATAAACGTACCATGTGGCCTGAGTTATGACGGCAACACTTCGACACTCTGGGTCGGATCAGGGAACAACAACACAGTGAACATTTACAAACTTTCCTATGGAGGGGATGATCTGACTGGTAGGTAATACAAAAGTATAATTTTATGTTTACTTTTACAATATTTTGTGTGTACAATATATTATAGTCCTTAATAACAAGATTAATGATTAATCTTAGTGATAGTTTGCAGTGTATTAACATAACATGATTTATATAAAAATGACTACTTGCATGACATAATAGAAACAAGAAACATTTTTTTTGAGACAAGGATGTTAATTTATGTTTTAATAAATAAATAAAAAAAAATCCAGATGTTATAATTCAGATTTATTTAGGGTTATTTTATGTACTTGGTTTTTAACTTTGTTGTATTTTACAAACTCCTCCTGATTTTGTACAGATAACACTTGACATGCCCCCTACTTATAGGCAGTATATACATTCGATTGTGTCCTGCATCATTTATTATGTAGTATGAAGAGTTCAATTTTCTAACTGGTTAATGATTTTTTGTATAACTCTCATTGATTCTGTCTTCTGTTTTGGTTAACAAGGTTTTATTGCCCTCTGCTAAAGTCAGAAAATGGATATATTTTCTGGTTTGTAGGTCAGCTTTATAGATCACTACAAGTGTCAGGAAATGGGGGGGGGGGTGGTTGATGGAAATGGGGGATGGAGGAAGAATTGCCCTAGCTAGTTCTTATCAATTGATGATATGCAGTTCTTTAAATACTCCATTCAAACAAAATTCAAACAAAACTCAATCACATTGACGGCAAACATTTTGTACATTGTTGACAGTTAGAAATAGACACCACTGATATTAACAAAGCTCTGTCTAGGAATGTTGTGTATTTCTCTAGCATGTTACCATATTTTTTCTGAAACGCCTATACTGTGCTTTAAAACGAAATTTCAATTACATTGATGTATGAAATATATGTAGATAAAGAGCAGTATTTAAGCTCAAAAGTCCATTAAACAATACAAAATAGGACAGAGCAAACACGGACTTCCAAAATATCAGAGGTGGGATCAGGTGCCATGGAGGAGGCAGCATTCCCTGCCGACCGGACACAACCGCCATGCCCTCCCCGTCACGACTGGGAAACAACGGAAAAAATTCAGTGTGTAAACAATGGCTTAACAATTAGTATGAAAAAAAGTCAGCATTTGACTCAACGATAAATTGCATTTGCTATAATTTACCTCGTTCTAGAAATTTCACATACGTACAGAATGCTCTTGCATATTGAATCAACTGAGAGATATAAACCCCATATGCAGATGATAAAGGCACACCGCTGCATAAGCCGACGATGTGTTCTTATGATTATTATAAAACATTTTTTTTTCAGATCCAAGCAATGATGATCTAATCAAAGTTGATGAGTTAAAAAGGTTTCTCAGGAAGGAGAAGACAACAGTTTCTCATGCCAGAGGAATACTTGTTGGATGTGCTGAAGCTGGAAAAACAACACTACTTAAGGTATCCAATGTATAACGACCATTTTTTTTATTTATTAAATGAACTGTCCGATATTTTTATTCATGGTAGCATTTTGAAGGTGTAATCAAATACAGACCCTGGGACGTGCTACTACCCCAAAAAAGCGTCTGACTTTCGTGCGCTTTCCGTTTCGTGCAAACCTTGTAGCGTTTCGTGTAAACCGTACAGAGTTTCGTGCTAACAGTGCAGTGTTTCGTGTAAACCGTGCAGTGTTTCGTGTTAGCTCCAAAGCGTTTCGTGCAAACCGTGTTGCGAACGTGCGAGAAGCATGTGAGAAACGTGCGACTCTTGTATGAGAACCGTGTGAGAAACGTGTGACTTTCGTGCAAGAATCCTGTAAGATTCATTCGGAAGTCATTTCATTTTAAATATGGCTATCCATGGGTCAGGATGTCAAATTGTATAAGTAGTTTATTATTGAAGTAGTTATGCTTCTGATATTTTAGTTTTAGAAGTAAAAACTAAAAAAAAAATGGAACAACAAAATGAAATTACACGGTAATGTATAATATATATTTGTTTGTTTTCTTTTCCTTCTAAAAAAATATATTCAAATTAATCAACTATGTGCAACAATTTTAAGGGCATTGATTAAATATACTATCAATGCGATCATGGCTTCTTAAATATTTTTTTCTCAAAGAAAAAAAGAAAGATCAGTTTTATTTTTTTTATTTAAAGCAAAATTATATCAGGACTCCGCTCTTGTCTTTAAATTTAAAGTGCGTGAAAGTAAGTTTTGAAACAATGTGTCATTTGATATTTTTTAATACATCAAATTTCTTGCTCATTATTGTCAACTAAACAGATTATAATTTTAATTCCCATGCACTGACGAACACATGATTAGAGACGGTTGGGGGGTTAAATTAAATTACTGGTACAATCTTTCATTTTTAGCTCACCTGAGCCGAAGGCTCAAGTGAGCTTTTCTGATCACATTTTTTCCGGCGTCCGTCTGTCCGTCCGTCTGTCTGTCCGTAAACTTTTCACATTTTCGACTTCTTCTCAAGAACCGTTGGGCCAATTTCAACCAAACTTGCCACAAAGCATCCTTGGGTAAAGGGGATTCAAGTTTGTTCAAATGAAGGGCCACGCCTTCATTGAAGGGGAGATAATTGAGAATAAGTGAAAATTTGGTGGTATGTTTTAAAAATCTTCTTCTCAAGAACTACTGTGCCAGGAAAGATGAAACTTATGGGAAAACATCCTCAGGTAGTGTTAATTCAAGTTTGTGCAAATAATAATAATAATAATAATAATAATAAATACTTTATTTAAAGAAGGTAACCTGGTTAGTGCATGCACTATTCTTCACCAGGGCCTTCTATATATATCAAAATACAAAAATATACAGAATACAATTCATCATACATAATAGTAATATGTTTAAGGAATTACAATCACACGATTATGAATAACGTGTCCATGTATAGTTAATTAACAATCATAATACAATATACAATATCGAAACCTTATTGTGCTGAAATAATTGTGCGGCAGCTGATGATGTAATTTTCTATATTACGCTTAAATGTTTTTAGTGATTGAGAGAGTCTAATGTGGGGAAGTTTATTCCATAGATGTACACCTGAATACTGAAAAGATGTTTTGAATAAGTTTGTACGAAATTTCGGCAATCTTAGATCATAATTACTTTCAAATCGAAGGTTATAAGAAGATGTTGAATGAAATTCAAATAAATTACAAAGATATTTTGGAGTCGTTCCACTGAAAATTTTGTATAATAATATGTATTTGTATAGATCAACTAGCTCATAAACTGTTAACCATTCAAGTTTCTCAAACAGTGGTTTAGAAGAAGAATCGGGACTTGCGTCAAGAATAATCCTTGCTGTCCTTTTCTGTAATTTAAATAGTCTGTCCATGTCCTGCTTTGGGGCATTACCCCAGATAGTCAAACAATAGTTAATGGATGGTAAAATATAAGCATTGTAATATAGTTTTCTGGTATGTAGAGGGAGAAGTTTCTTAATCCTTCGAAGAGTAAATAACTTATAATTTACCGTTTTACAAACCGAATCAATATGATTTGCATACTGTAACTTATCATCAATATGTACACCAAGAATTTTTTCAGTTTCAACCATTTCAATTGTTCTGTCTGAGGCATAAAGTTGTAAATTTGGATTATCTAATTTTGATTTTCTTTGCTGTGTTCCCATTAACATACATTTTGTTTTATCTACATTCAAAACCATTTGATTTTGAGCACACCATTTCTCAATCTCACTAAGGTCTGAATTTAGTGCATTTTCTAAACATCTTGCATTATTATTATTAGAATACAGAGTTACATCATCAGCAAACATATCAATATTTGAATTGTTTACATGTAATGGAAGGTCATTTATGTACAATAAGAAGAAAAGTGGGCCCAAAATTGACCCTTGTGGCACTCCTGCTGTGACGGGTAGAATATTGGAGACACATGATCCAAATTTAACACACTGTGTCCGATCGTAAAGATATGATTTAAACCACTTTATAGCTGTTTGGTCAAATTTGTAATGGGTTGATTTCTCTAGAAGAATATCATAATTCACTAAATCAAATGCTTTACTAAAATCTATAAATGTAATACCGATTAGTTCACCACGATCCATTGCAGTAAGCCAACTTTCTGTTAGTTTTGTAAGTGAAGTTTGACAGGAATTGCGTTCTCTAAACCCTGACTGGGATTGTGTTAGTAGATCAAATTCATTAGTGAAATTTTGTACTAGCTTAGCTACATGTTTTTCTATCAATTTAGATATAGTTGGTAGAATAGAAATAGGACGATAATTATTCGGGTCAGCTTTGTCACCTTTCTTAAAAATAGGTGTTACTTTGGCTTGTTTTAAATTTGTTGGGAAAATATCACTTACTATGCTAGAGTTAAGAAGATGAGTTATAGGTTTACATATATATTTAGATGTGACTTTCAGAAGGTGCGGCCCAATAAAGTCAATGCCAGCTGATTTATTGATATTTAGAGAATTTAACATGTTAAAAACTTCACTTTCCTCAATTTGATGAATACTAAACAAGGTTTCCTCATTAAGCTTAGACCTAACAAAATTACATAATATATTAGGATCATAATCATGTTTTGGCATTTCCAAAAGAAGCTTGTTAGAGACATCCGTAAAGTGGTTATTAAAAGTATTTGCAATATCTTGTAAATTATCAACAATTTCCCCATTAGAAGACACATGAGATGGAGTTGTATTCTTAAGATTACATGTTAATTGATTAAGATAGTTCCACATTTCTTTGGGGATTGAACAGACTTTGGGATTTGAACTCTGTTTAATCGCTGTTTTATAGTAAGAAGATTTTGATTTGTTTATAAGAACGCTAACTTTGTTTCGATAAATTCTATAGTTCTCCATGTCTCCTTCTTTGTGGTAAGAGTCCCGTAAATGTCTAGCATTGTTTATTTCTTGTGTCATCCATTTAGGACGGATTTCACTCTTAACTCGTTTTGTTTTCACCTGTGCATGCTGGTCAAGTACGCTATTGAATAATTCATAGAACTCAGTTAGTATTTCATTAGGGTCAAAATGCGATCTTTTCTTTCCATATCAAAACCCTCAATATACAATTCTGAATCACTGACTTGATCATTCAAGAAGGTTTCACAAAGTCCTAAAATATTAACAGTTTGTTTGTCATGAAGTAATAGTTTAATTTCTTCAATTTTAGGCAATAAGTGGCATATGTTTAGATTTCCAAATCTTAGACCTTTTTTCACCGAACCAAACCCATTATTGCTCGGTACATGTGGTACATGTACATTCTCATTTTTAGATATAGTATGATTAGCAGATTGTGAAACCTTCTTGGTATGAAATCTATGAGTATTCCTGTCTGGTTTTGAGAATTTAGAAGTATTTGGTGAAGTAATTAAATTTTTTGAATTTGTTACAAAATCTAGAGAAAAATATTCACATTGTTTGCATGAACAGTGGATCTTATTACATTCTGAACATAATCTACTAAGAGTCGAATAAACATTGTTGTCACGAGAAATCGTTTGGGAACTATAGTCGGCTACACATTCGTTGCCAGTTTCCTAGTGTCCATTCGGAAAAAGCTTGGTTTTATGACCTAGTTTCCCACAATTCCAGCAATCCAACTTTCTTCCATGTCTGCAGTGTCGTGATATATGTGCCCACTTTCCCCACAGAAATAACAAAAGGCTGGACGGCGGAAGGAAGTACTGCCAAGTATTTCCGATTCTTCACCATTCGTACGCACGTTTCCGACTTTGAGGATACTCACGAATTGATGGAAAATTTTTAGCAGTTCTGCTGTACCTCTGTCTGACAGATGAATGTTGTCTTTCCAATAATACTCTTGTTTGGGATTTGAACCACCAAAGATGGGAGATGTTTACCCCGCGATTTGTGTTGACCTGCACAGTTGAACGCAATCCTCTGGTGCGGATCCTTTGTAGTATGGAACTTCCTATGACGAGGACAGATTTATCTCTTGGGATCTTTCTAGGTTGACTTGTTCCATGTTTGGTGTTTGAATCTGGCGAGGTAGGAAAACTCATAGTATGAGCTTCACTGGCATCTGTCATGGTACATGTACTATTGGATATTGTCGGAGCTTTAAGGGCGCATTGGGTATGCCTAGATACACCAGATGGAATGTGAAGGAGTCCGTCTGTTGATGTCTCCTTTTGTTTTGTCCTATTAGGAGTTGTTTGGGTAACTCTTGAAACAAGCGAGGTGACATTTTTTGACCCATTAAGTTGTTGTTTTAGGTCACTGACTTCTTGTGACAAAAGCTTGACGGTATCAGACAATTCCTGAATAAGTTTGGCACTGCTAATACACTGATGACAATTCTGTGATTTGTTACCCTTAGGGGTGGAGGTGCATAGAGGAGATGTTTCATCTAAAGTCTTACAATTTGTTTCCAAATTTAGATCCAATTTATTCAAGTCCGTGAGGAACTCCTGATAC